GCGCACGTCGAAGCGAGAGGAAGGAGGGAGCAGGAGAATGAGGACGTGGGTGGGTGGGAGAAGGGCGTCGTCGAGGGAAGGGTGTCGTCGAGGGAAGAGGAAGAGAGGCGGGCGATGGAGAGCAAAGATATTTGCTAAGTCTATAAGTACATGGGGTGCTTGCTCGTTCACCCTCGCGAGCTAAAGGAGGGCAGTCGAGGTCAAGTAGGAGTCATGAGAACACTTACCTAGTTCACTCTCTGTAGATCGCCTCGGACACTCACAGCTGAGATCGTCTAGTGAGCAAAAGGTAGCTGGTCTATTGCAAGGTGGGAACGGCTCCGTGTACATGCGGGAGGTCGACTAAACATACAACGTGAGGAGACGAGCTCGCGTTCTGTAGCCGGAACGAACCCGAATCGAGGAGCTTCGCCTACATGAAGCCTTCGATCAGGTCCGGCTAACCGAGGCAAGCCGCGGCTAGCCCAGCTTGGTTTCTCACGGCTCATCGAGCGATACCCGCGCATGGAACCTCGGATCGGCGGCGGTCCGAAGAGCTGCCCCGGGTCGGCTTTGGCTTGTGGCAGTGTGGCGGCGAACGCCTCCCTTCCCTCACGATCCGCCCACTGGCAGCGTTTCCCAGCCCATGCTGCATGTATATATTTTCCGATAGACATTATCCGGTCCTGAACCATTAATGATATCGTACGACTATGAGTAACTCCACGCGTGAAAGGCCTTTGGCTGTATAATGAACAAAATTCTAAGATCTTCTCTTGTCTCCCTCGAGCTACGACCTCATCAACGCGCTGTATGATCATGCCATTTCATTAGTGTTCCTCGGGTTGGGTGCGTATATATACAGTATACGAAAAGGCGGCAAACTGATAATGCTGAAAATGCCAAAAGATACTCATCGTCCAAGAAATCGTCGTCCACCTGTACCAGCTTCATCTCTCCCCAAGCTCAAGAAGACGCCACGAGCAAACAAGCAAGCTACGAAAGCGGCTTCCACCCGTCCCCAGCAGGCCATTTAAGGTTGTCCCGCTCGTAGAGGTACTCCCTGCCCTCGAACTCGCCCAAGTTCCGCCGCCCGCGATGGTCGCGGCCGACATCATCAAGCTCCGAGTCCGAATCCGTGATCGAGATCGACGCCGGCCCCGGACCGCCCATGTCCACGCCCGCATCGTCGTTCGCTACGAGCCCCGACGCTGTACCTGTACCGAAACCATTGCGTCTTCGGTCCCAGCTTTGATCGCGGTCCCGCGAACGGTCGTCGCCCATGAGCCCCTGCGTGCCCTCGTCTCCCTGCATCCCGAGCCCACGTCCACCGCCACCGACAAAGCCTCGTCGAGAAAGCCCAGCCTCGGCTTTATATCTCGCGGCGTCGAATTTGGGCTGGGCCTTCATCTGCAGCTGCGCGAGGGTGCGTTGGATGTTGGATATGCCTTCTCCGAACTCGCCTGCGGCCGTGCCGCCCGCTGTAGAGGTCGAGGCAGAAGTATGGGGGTGGGAGGAGAGCGAGAGATGGCGGGATACGCCCTGGTAAGAGGTCGTGCGTGTGTGCGCGTGTCCGAGTGAAGCGATGGAAGATTTATGAATTGGGGTATTGATCTGTGCGGATTCAGGACGTTTGCGGGGCGGAGGGATAGGCGGCGTGCTGTTGGGCGAATGCAGCGAGCGCGAACGGAAGACGCGAGTTGTTGGGCTAGGAAGGGTCTCTACTGTGTCAGAGGGACGGCGGTCCGGGTGTGTGGGTGGTGCTGCAAAGGAAGTCGAGGCTGATGCGAATGTTGAGGTGGAGTCGCGCGAAGGAAGCGGGGGACGGAACGGGTCAGGGACTGGGGTTGGTGTCCGTGTCGGGGATGTTGTGCTCGGAGCTGAGCGCGTCAGGGTCGCGCCAGCCACCTCATAAAAGGAAGCTTCGGACTCGGACTCGCTGGAGTCGGTGTCGCTGAACGTCGGATGCGGGTTGACCTTCGGTTTCACCTTCGAGGCCCGTGGTTTCTGCACGAGCGGTTTCTTGGCCAAGGATGAAGAGCCCGACGTCCCTTCCGATGCTGATATCGACGAACCCTGCTTCTGCCTGAACTCGGACGTCCGTCTACCCTTCGCGCCTAGAGGTGGTGGAGGTGGGGGTCTCACTGGCGACGCGGAGCGCGATGCGCGTGATGTCGTACTCGGTGCCGGAGATCCAGATGTACGTATAACCTGCATGACGCGCTCATTATTGCGTAGCTCCTCAGCACGCTTGACATTCTGTGCGTGGCGACTAGCCTCGAGCGACTGCTGCATGAGCGGGCTGGTCATGCGGCTCGGCTTGAGCGGCACGCTCGGTGGCGGGCCCTTCTCTTTGATGGTGGGCGGTGCGGATGAGGGTATGCCCGTCTGGTGAACAGCTGGTGGCGCGGTTGTACGCCTAGGTGGGAGGGGCATGGCGGGCTTGCGAGGAGGAAGGGGCGGGATGACAGGTGGATGTGATGAGTCGTCGTTGACGGAGCCAACCTTGTCTTGCTGAAGGAACGGGTTGTGGCTAATCTTGGGTGGAAGGGCGGGTGCGACAGTGGGGAGCAAGTCTGGTGTGGGCGGAGGTGATCGGATTCTGTCCATGGATTTGCGGGAGAAAGGGTTCGTGTCTGGATGAGTGGGATGCAATGGAGGAGGCGGTGCTCGCGCCGGGGGTGGAGGGGCGCGTGCAGGTAATTGCGGCTTGGGAGGTGAAGGAGGCGAAGATTGGATGGGTTTACTAGGTTTAGGGTATGCTGGATGATAGAGAGGTCAAGTCAGCATTAATACAGGGAGAGGTAGTGGGAGGGCAGGGTACGATAGCAACAGATGACGTACTTTGTACAAATGCGAGATTGCGATCGACGGGTTTACCATCCTGAACATGGAGAACGAGGCGCAGGACTGCAAAAAACTGGTCTCCGGAGAGAAAGTCGGATGAGAGCATGTTTGGGCAGAACAGTTTCAGAATCTGGGGCGGATAACGTCAGGCACGAGCGCTAAGCTGAAGGCGTCACTGATGAGGACAACGAACCATATCTATGTCGATAGAAGACAGGTTCGAGTATCGACCTCTAAGCCATGCCCTCGCCTCGCGGACGCCGACGCGGGTGTCTTCGTAGCGAGTGCTCTTCTGGACGATGCTCCTCGGACCATGACCCGAGTCTGGGAGCTCAGCAAGATCGTTGAAGGAAGAGGTGTAGAGGTCGTATTCGTGGTCGTTGAGAGCGGATAAGTGCAGGGAGAGGGGGCGCATGGCAACGACGCACACTGCCCTGGTGCTCGTTGGAAGAAAAAGGCGAGGACGGTCCAAGAATTGGAGGAACAGAAACGGGGCTGGGGACGGACAACGGGCCAATCGCCTTCAACGGCCGGTACGCGGCTAACAGCACGTGATCCATTCAAATAGCACAGCCACAGCTTAAACCTCTGTTTACTCGTGCCTGATCTTCCTCGGCACCGATCCACACCTGCACTTACTGACATCTTGTTAGAGCAGGGCATTTGCTTTCGATTGACGTTAATGACACCCTGACGTTGCTGCTTGGCTGAAACTTCCACTACCGCCAACCCAGCGGGGGTTCCATCAGACGCGTCACAAAATCACTCAATACTTGCTAGTACTCCTCCACCCACATGTTGCAGGCGAACTTGTCTCATAAAGATATACCAAACGTTCAACGGTGTTCTTCAGGTGGAAAAACATGCCCGGGGCCGCGTCTTCCGCTTTTCCATTGAAGAGCACCTGACTCTTTCCCTATTCTCTCATGGTGTTTTTCCAGCGCCACCGAGCCTTGTCTCGTGATGTCGCCCCAATAGCGACTTACCACCAATAATACGCCAAGGCGTCTGCTCATTACCCCCTCCCTCACCCACGACTGCTCCATCATGCGTGCCGTCGTCTATCAAGCTCCCTTCTCTGTTGATGTCAAGGATGTCGAGAACCCGAAAATCCTCCATCCCGACGACGTCATCGTCAAAGGTATTGCCCATTCCCGCCTTTCTCATGTCTCGTATCTGATGTTTCTGGCTAGTGACGACCAGCTGCATATGCGGCAGGTAGGACCGTTCCTCACTCAAAGCGCTGCGAGTTGACACGGATTCGCTCAGTGACTTACACATGTACGAGGGACGTACCGGTGCACAGCCAGGGATTGTATTTGGCCACGAAAAGTGCGTAGTCCTGGTGTGGTCGCTCTTGTCTGCCTCTAACTCATCTTCATAGCATGGGTATTGTCGACGTAAGACCTCCAAAACCCATTCAACAACCTCTGTTGACGGTAGCATATGTCAGGAAACGGGAGAAGGTGTACAGGTACGGCGTACCCAACGGTCATTTGAATGTCAGCTGAACGCAAGGGACTCATTCGACACTAGCTCTTGAAGAAGGGCGACCGCGTTGTCATGCCCTTCAATGTAGCCTGTGGTCGCTGCCTCAACTGCGAGACAGGCAAGTCCGCTTTCTGTACGCACGTTAACCCAGGATTCGTAAGTTAGCGTTATCTTAACCCACGGTTGTGCCTTGTTGCTCATCTGGGCCTGTTCGTTTAGGCGGGAGGGTGAGTGACACGCTTCAGGCATACAAGGGCGGCGGCTCAACCAAACCACTGACATCAATCAGAGCGTATGGGTAGGCACTGAGTCACTTTTGCTCTTGAATAGGCGATGCTCACCTCTACTTGAGCTACGTAGCCATGGGTCCGTATCAAGGCGGACAAGCAGTACGTAACCTCCAGCCGCGTTGCATACGCACACTCAACCCTCGCCAGGAATACGTGCGCGTGCCGTTCGCCGACTTCAATGCGCTGAAGCTCCCTCCCGGTACGGAACACGAGGATGATTTTGCGTTGCTCGCAGATATCTTCCCAACGGTTCGCATCTCGTTCACTCTCTCTACCATAGCGACATCCTAAATGTGCGGTTAGGGCTGGCACGGAGTTGAGCTATCCGTATGTCGTCATCCTGGCATTACTCCGACCAATCACAGCGTGCTTACTCTTCGACCCCAGGGTTTCCGGCCCGGCGAATCCGTCGCCGTCTTCGGCGCGGGCCCCGTCGGCCTCATGGCAGGATACTCCGCGCTCCTGCGGGGCGCATCCGAGGTGTACGTCGTCGACCGCGTCCCCGCCCGCCTCGAGAAGGCGCGGGAGATCGGTTGCACTCCGGTCGACTTTTCGAAGGGGAGCGCTGTGCAGCAGATTTTGGACCTGCGTGGCGGGTAAGACATTTCATTTTATGTATGGGTTGCTTACTAATAAGAGCGCGTTAGACATGAAGTGGACCGTGGAGTCGACGGTGTGTCTTGTTAGCCTTAGAAATTGTTGCTGCAATGGTTGACACGTTCGCTTCAGCCGTCGGATACCAAGCTGCAGGAGCAGACGGGAAGAGCGAGCAGCCAAATGCGGTACTCGAGGCGCTCATCGCCGTCGTCCGCCCTACAGGCGGCCTAGGCATTCCAGGGCTTTACGTCCCTACCGACCCCGGCGCTCCTGATTCAGCTGCAGCGAAGTAGGCTCTTTTTGGAAAACTTATCATGAACGACATATTGATGCGTGCCTTGTCAGGGGTTACATCTCCTTCCCGTTCGGCAAGCTCTTCGAGAAAGGCCTCACCATTGGGACGGGCCAGTGTAACGTCAAGGTACGTACGCCGAAGCCAAATACGAGGTAAAACTGATGGACTCGGGTGTTACTGGCGTTACTGCAGTCGTATAACCGATATCTCCGCGACCTCATCATCGCAGGCAAAGCAAAGCCTTCTTTCGTCGTGTCGCACAACTTGCCTCTTGGTGAGGCAGCGAGCGCGTACGACAAGTTTGACAGGCGCGTGGAGGGGTACACGAAGGTGCTTCTGCATCCTTAAGTTTGTTGACCGCAAGGGCAGATGAGTATCGTAGCTCTGGAGGAAAGTTTGTAAGTTAGTGTTTGTCACGAATGGGATCTCTCCGTCAAGTACTTTCAAACATTCGAATCGGTCTTTTGCAACCGGCAAACAAATGACAGCCGTATTTCCGTCGGCGTTCCGATACACTAAGAAGGCTTATTTCTGTGTTTTCCGTGTGGCGTGTTCGGCAACCTATAGGATTGTCAATGTCCGGGTTTAGTAGCCGGCAAGTAAACGCTCGGGTTGTTTCACCCTCAACTTAGATCACATATATCCCGTAGATGAAGCAAGTGTGAGTGCAAGAACCTTCCCAGATCTTTGACGCCGAGAGCCCCGTGGAGGTCGCAGCTCTATACTTGGCGTCACGGGAGAGAGATAGTGTGCGTTCTTTCCTTGGTTCTTTCACCCCTGCTAAGCATCGGCGACTAGGTCACACCTGGAAGATGCTGCTACATAGATATCAGTCTCAACGTATCCGCTCGACTTCATTTGACTGGACTGTCTCTCTATCGGCCGTTGTTCTGACTTGGTGGCGCCTGGTCTTCTCGGGTGCGTCCGCCGAGTGCGGAGCTTGTGAGGGTGATCTTGTCTTGAGCTTGATCGCCGTTCAAACCCTTGCCGAGAGCAGTAACTTAGTGGCCGATATCGACCATGATAACTGGTAAGTGGACTCTTTGTAATCCTGGTGGAGCACCAGGGTATCAACAAGTCGCAGGAATTCTTGTCTTCATCGACCGGTCTCTTGACATTTCAGTTCTCGGCGTCCCAGCCGGAAATTGGTGTCACGATATATAAGCACACTTTGCTTTTTTCTTTACCTCGCGTCACGCCATCCCTCATCAGCTTTCCTCGGTATATTCTATGATGGATGAAAGGGATGCAGAGAAAGGGCCCCGTGTTTCTAGCACGAAGAGCGACGGGCACCACGGAGAATCTCACGAACAAGGCGAATATGGGATCCATGTCGACAGTGCTGATGCCAATCTCAAACGCCAGCTCAAGAGCCGACACATTGCTATGATCAGGTGAGTATTACACAGTTAATCTTTGTATCCTACCTCTGTTCAAGTCGGTTCCCCTACTAGTATAGGCGGTGTAATCGGAACCGGCCTTTTCCTCGGAACGGCGACAGCGCTAAAGAACGCGGGGCCAGTAGGCGCGCTTCTGGCGTACACGTTCATTGGAAGCATATGTTTTTGCGTCATGGTGAGCGTCTTACCGTCATCTTTGTCTGTCCCTTAAGTACTGATGCCATGAGAGGTGTCGGTCGGGGAGATGATCTCTTTGTTACCTGTTGCAGGGGGGCATATCCGTCTTGCAGCTCGCTTTGTCGATCCGTCATTTTCTTTTGCACTAGGCTGGACGCTGTGGTATGGATGGGTGGTGCGCCATACCGCTCTTCTGACGTGGCCATTAATTGACTCAATATCTGCGCTTGCTCCGTGTAGATGACTTTGCCCGGTAAGTTCTCGTTGCGACATCCAAGTCAGTGTTATTAAACATCAAATTAATAGCGGAGTTATCAGCTGCAGCGACGCTCATAGACTATTGGCAACCAGGCGTCAACAACGCTGTCTGGGTTACGGTATGCCTGGTCGTTGCTGTTGGTATCAACATGTTCGGGGTAGGGATTTATGGCGAATCGGAGTTCATATTCTGGTCTGTCCGTCATTATTGAGCCTACATTTGCGCTGAAGTAGTAGCTGCGGTACAGCTCTATCAAAGTGATCACGATAGTAGGACTAATCATCCTTGGAATCGTGCTTGACCTCGGCGGAGGACCGGATCACGACCGTCTTGGTTTTCGCTATTGGATTTCACCCGGACCATTTGTGCAGTATAACGGAATCAGCGGCACGACAGGACGCGTAGTTGGCTGGGTGTCGGCTACAATCCAAGCAGCATTCTCTTTTTGTGGTACTGAGGTTGTAGCGGTACGTTTCTCTGTGTTGCGTACTAACGAGTAACTGAAATGTATCCAGATCACCGCAGCTGAAGTGAAGAACCCGCATCGCAATCTTCCTCGGGCTATACGTCGAGTATACGCAAGGATACTCGTATTTTACATCGGAAGCGTTTTCATCATTGGCTTGCTTGTACCATCGAATGACCCTCTCTTGAACCTTGACTCTGGGAACGCGTCAGCTTCGCCATTCGTTATAGCCATCAATCGTGCCGGTATACGGGGACTTCCATCAGTAGGGAAAGGTTCTAACCAGGCATGCCCCTTTGCTGATGGAGATATTTACAGGTGATTAATGCGGCCTTCTTGACCTCAGCGTGGTCAGCCGCATCTGGGGACCTATACTTCGCGTCTCGTGCTCTATGTAAGCGCATATCCGATCCTTCCTACACATCACTAATACTCGTACATGAAGACGGTATGGCTGCTGCTGGTAATGCACCAAGATTATTCCTCCGCACGACCCGGTCGGGGCTCCCTATAGCGTCTGTGGCGTTTTGCGCTTTGTTTACCCTGCTTGCATATATGACGACCAGCGCGAGTGCCGGGGAAGTTTTCACATGGTTCGCAAACATGACCGCGACTTGTGGTCTGTGGGGTTGGTGCGCAATAGGTATCATGTACGTGCGCTACCATGCAGGGTTCAAAGCACAGATGCTGGATAAATGCGCGCTTCCGTACTGGTCTCGCTTGCAGCCCTTTGCAGCGTGGTGGGTAATTTTTGCCTGTGGGATTACCATGATTGTTAGTACTACCTCCCAGTCTATCAACATCTCAATAACTCACTCCGTGCGCAGTTCAGTGGCTTTGAGGTTTTTCTCCATGGTCAATGGTCCACCGCGACGTTCATAACCAATTACTTGCCGATTGCTCTTTTCCCAATTCTCTACAGCCTGTCGAAACTCGCTACACGGATTCCGCTTGTTTCTCCACAAGACATGGACTTCGTGACCGGATCGCACATAGAAGAGGATCCGTGAGTGTAAGCGCACTTATACTGTCATGCCGCTAAAGTATTGGTTCAGCACGGACCTCGCCCCCGAAAATCGGATGCAAGAATTTTGGGCGTGGCTAGTAAGCCTTTATATCATGTTCACCAAGTTTATATGTAATGTTCACTTCTGACAGATTTGACTCGGCGAGTTACCAAGGATTTATCAAATGTTTTGCATGTCCCATCCTCCTTCGCTATTCTCTGTTGTCGAGACTTTCATATCTCTTACCATTTACGTTGAGAGGCGTCAACCATTCGTCATGTAATACGTCACATAAACTATCCTCGACAATTGCGTAGAAGCTGTGGATTGGTAACGCTGTGACTTCTGATGCCACGATCACTCTTAACTCCGTTGACAACTCTAACCCCTAGTGGCTACCTTCCTCTCAGTTTACTCTGGCTATTCTCAGTAGAGGGCTCGTCACCGGATTACCCTTCCCGGATCCTATTGAGGGAGTCGGCCTCGTTGAATCGCTGAGAAATTCATGTTGAACATTCGACGAATACTATTTCCTAAAAGTACACAGTGTTGGATGTGAGGTACCACCGCTTGCTATTACATTCTATATTCAACTGCAAGACATGCTATGCGTGACGCTGAATCCCAGACCTCGCTTGGGTGACCCTTCGCTTGTTCTTTTCAACAACCATAGGATCCAGGCCCTCCTCTGTCGGAATACCCTCCGCCGCTTTCACAGCATCGATAGAAAAGTGAAGCGCTCGTTCATAGTGACCCATATTTAGCGCCATCTGGGAAGCATTCCCAAGAGCGATCACGAGTTGCTTTCGTGCCCCACGGACTTCAGAAGCATAGTTGCAACCCGTGTGGGAGTCAAGCATGATCAAAGCCGCAGACAGTTCAGCAACACTCATGAACACGGTACACGCACGGTTGTAGTCACGGCCAAACATTGGGTCCCTTACTATATCGCGCCCTCTGTCCATGTAGTCGAGTATGCGCGACTGCGACAGTCTTGTGACTAGATGGATAACATCCGGGTGAGTGATTTGCTGAACCTGTTTGAGAGACGTCGAATCTGAGAGCCCGTTTGGCGCGTTTCGGAGTGTCTGGATATTGTCGAGGGCGTTCCGCTGGGCAAGGACAACAAGTAACCTGATGAGCGCAATTGGAGCGAGTACTCGTTGACTTGCGACTATGAATGGATTATCCGACGTCCGCATGGGCGTATCTGAAGGGCTGTAACCTATTGGACATCTGACCACATCTTGCTCGTACTCGAGGTGACGATCCGTTCTTCACTGGTGTCGCAGTGTTCAACATATTTACCGGTCTTGTGGCAACCACGGTATGTGATGTGAAGCAACGATTCAATATGAGCATTGCTGATACCGCAGAAATCTGCTGCATGAGAGAGAGTCGCGAGCAATCGTAATATTGTCACACGGCATATTCCTGAAGGTAGCGATCAAGTTGTGCTAGAAAAGGTGTACTCGCGACGTACCACGGTAAGTGAACAACCGAGTCGCGTTCATTTCGCTTGGTGGACCAAGGGTATCGTGGTGGATTATGGCGTTAGAGAAGTAGCTGTATATAATATCAGATTATCTATCTCATTTGAGGGACGTAAATCATACGTCTCAATCTTATCCATATCCTCCCCCTCTATGTGCCTCCACACATTGATAAGCTTCTCCTGCCAACCTTGACGTGACGTCAGGACTGCCATTATGCATTATATGCGACAACGTCTTCCTGTCGTGACGATACGATGTCATATCTGCGAAGGCAGGCAGTCCCGGGACAATGTACCCCGGCCACTGAAGTAATAGGCACAGAATCTCGCACGCTGTTGCCGCCACTTGAGACTCTGGAAAACAACGAGGACGATCAACAGTAGCACATTCAAGTAATAGATCAAAGATTTGCGGTTTGTGCTTGACGACTTCGAGACAGAATCTACGTGGTCGAATGGAATGCGTGTACATAATGCCATGGGCAGCCCACATGACAGAGTCTTGCGTCATGGCAAAGACCCTAGGAGCGCTCATTTTCACAGTTGCGGGAGATGCCTAATTGACAACAATCATGCCACTTAGCCGGTGCTTTATAATGAGTAACACTGAAATATTACGTTCTCTGTGCCAATGAGCGTCGAGCTCTGCCACGTCATATCGGGACCAAGTAGTCGTCCGACGGAATCATCAGGCTGCTGCAACGCGTAGATACAAACTGCCTCTATGACATCGGCAGCGGAGGATGAGGAAACTTGGGCTCCCATGGAATCTTCAACAAGTGCCCGTAAGGCATTAGCAGCCAGGTGTTGCAAGATACACAACCGGTGCTTTAAAAACTACGCTCCGACATTAGGGGTGAAGACTCAAGGATAATGGTTAGGACGCACTCGCACGCAGGTCTCAATAACTCCGAGTTGCAACATCTCCTTCAAGACAGCTTTCCTTTCTTCTGCGTCTGCGTTCTGCACAAATGTGCATAGACAGTTCAGCGCCGAGTATTGGGCGATGTACTTTTCTTTGGGTACACGAGGTTCGGATCACTCTCGGCGTACAAGGATCATCATTGACGGGACTAATCCGCCGTTAAGGCAAGCGCGTGAGAATGCGTTCAGCACGTCATTGTCTCCTTCAACGTTAGCGATCTGAAACGACTCGTGAATCGCAGCCTATTATGTCTACAGATTAATCCCAGTTGCAAATGAGTAACATATGAAATGTCACTGGCAGAAGGAAAGTTGCGGAACTCACCGTGTATTTCTGCAGATAAATTGGGTCTTCATGTGGATCCTGGAGTCTCGCGTATACCCTTCTGAGATTCTGGGAACGGTGAGGCTCTGGGGCATGAAGTTCGTCCTCGATATATGAGAGTTCAGTCTCTGCGTACATAGTCGAAAGTGTCAATGTGATACGAGCAAAGGCAGTCCAGGAGTGAGGTAGACGCAAAAGCTGGATTATCGTTCTCACATGGCAGCACCCGGAGTGCTTGCGAGTGTTCTCCCACACTGATCCCATTTATCAAGCCACCACATCTTTACCTGCCCTTCGATTTCAATCCAAATATAGTTGGAAGCGAATAACTTGAATGCTATCTACGCCTATGGGTTATTCTAGTTTATAATCGGCAAGAGGGTATACGCTCACATGAACATCTGGTGATATCCGGATAAAATTGAACTATATTTGCACCACCCCGACACAGACCTTTAAAAGAACTTCTCTGTCAAAACGTACAGGCACCAGCAGAGTAACCGGGGGTTAACACCTACTGATTGTGACCGTCTCTCTGAGGGTCACGTAGTAAAAACCCTAGCGGTGCTGTCGAAGTTCAGCGCTGGCCTGATCCACGCGCCGCTTGTTCTTTTCAACGACCTCTGGATCCAAGTTTTCGTTGGCTGGAATCCCTTCTGCTGCGTTGACCGCACATATGGCCAAGTGATAGGCTCGTTGGTAGTGCCTGAGATTGAGCATCATTTGTGCCGCATTCCCCAGTGTGATCACGAGCTGCTTTCGTGCCCCGCGAATCTCAGCCGAGTAAATTTTCTCCGTATGCTCATCCAGTGCAAGTAGTGCAGCCGCGAGCTCACCGGCGCTCGTGAAGATCGAGCACGCCGAACTGAGGCTTGGATCATCTTTGCCGCTCGCCTGACGCTTGCGCCCGCGGTCGATACGGTCAAGTATGCGTCGCTGCGAGATCTTGATGGCTCGACGGATGACATCCGGGTGGGTAATCAGTTGGATATGGCTGAGCGAAGTCGACGATGAGAGCCCGTTTGGTGGCTTCCGTAGCGTTTGTATGCCTGTGAGAGCCTTTCTCTGCGCGAGAATAGTGAGTAATCGGATAAGCGTAGTGGGACCAAGGACTCGTTGAGGTGCGACCGCGAACGGGTCTTCCGTTGGTGTATGCCCGGATGCGACTTCGTGGGGATGGGCAAATACTTCCTCCTCATGTTCGAGGGAAGCAAGAAGCTCCTTTTGCGTGCGGCAATCTTCAGGATATTTGCCGCCCTTGCGGCAGCCCAGGTATGCAATGTGTAGGAACGATTCTATGTGAGCGTTGGTGATGCCACACGACTCAGCTGCGTGCGTGAGTGTGCTGATGATTCGTAGTATGCATACCCGACAGGTGCCTATGGGAGTTTGGGACTACAGAATCAGATTGAGAGGAATAACGACCCACCTCGGGATTCGGCAACCTTGGCAAAGCTCTCCGGTCCTGGTTCGTCAAAGGCAGCATAGTCAGGTACTACCCTTGAGAAATTCCTGCGTGGGAAACGTCAGCATGGTTACCGGTAATAAACGAACTGTAGGAGGTACCGCATGACTGTCTCCATGTCTTCCTCTTGTATCCGCATCCAAACCTCGTGAATCTTTTCGGCCCAGTCTGGACGCGACGTAAAGATGGTCATGGTCTGCAACATCGCCTTCCAGTCTGAATTCTTCGACCCTCTGTCTAGCGGTGTGACACCGGGAACCATGTAGCCCGGCCAGTGAAAGAGAAGAACAAGCAGTTCGCAGGCAATGTGCCCCACCTGACTTTCCGGATACCACCGCGGACGCTCTAGGATCGCACAGTCCAAGAGCAAGTCAAATATATGCGGTTTCCTCTTCACGATCTCGAGGCAAACCTGGCGTGACTGCGGAGGAGTGGTGCAAATGATGCCGTGCGCTGCCTGAATGGCGCTGTCCTGACCCATTGCGTAAAATCTATGGGCGAATTTGCTTGACTGGCTCGGATGTATCTGTTCGATAAAATGGTTAGCTGGGGCCGCGAATGAAGGTGGTAAACTTGCATCTTCTCGACCCATCATCATTGAGCTCTGCCACGTGGTTGAACGATCCCACATCTGACTGACAGCGTGATTTGGTCCTTCGAGCACGTACATACATAAGACCTCGATGATTTCGGCAGCGGCGGCTGCGGAGATCTTCTCCCCTAATGGGCTGGCTACTGCAAGAAGATGGAGAGTATAGGTCGCGCTTTGCCGCATCAGAGAAAGTCGATCTTCACGCAAGTTCTGAAGAATGAATGGTATGAGGACCTCTTAAGCAAACACTAACGGCTCGCCTTACTCGCAAGCACAAGTTCAAGATGCCCCCTTGAAGCAGCTCATCTAGCATACTTCGCCGTTGACCTACGTCGCCCAGCCTCATCAACGAGGCCAGACACTCTATACACCAGTACTGAGACATGTATCTCGACCTGGTATCATCTGTCCCGGGCCACTCTTGCCACGCAATGGCCATCATGGTGCGCACTATCCCAGCGTCCACGCATGCTTGAGCAAAGGTCGTGAAGCGAGGGTTGTTGACATCTAGTGTCTGTCTCTCTGCTTTGAGATCTTCATATAAGATTCCCTGATGAGCTTGTCAAATTTGACGCCCCCCGGCTATTCTAAAGAAGTGCTTACTGTTAACTCTCGAATGCTAACAGGGCTCTCATTAGGATCTGTAAGTCTTGCGAACATCTGTTTGAGGCTTGCTGTTTGCTGCGGTAGAGGGGCATTAGACTTGACAGAAGACTTGAGGTGAGCCACTAAGGGATTCGCCATTCTCAGAGCAGCAGGGGTAGCTATAGGGACGTGCAGTTTTCGTGCAACCTTGAGGGACGCGCCAGCGACGCGTCGCTCGCCCCAGCCCACTTGGCTGATATTTGTTTCTCCGCTCCAAAACGCTCGGTGGCGTCGCTCAAAACGTACCCTCAGCCGTCGACCCAACGACTCTCAACGAAGTTTTACGTAGTTCGAACCATGTCATTAAAGTCAGTCTCGCGAACCGAGTAACATAGGCATCAAGTATGTACACTTTAAAATCTGCCTTCGCTTCCAGAGTTCCAAGTTCAGGTACACGTGCGTCAGCTCTCGTACCGACATCCAAAAGCCCGACCTACGGGTTGCCAGGCTTCAACGTCTTCCACTCCACGGTCCAATCCAAGAAGATTCAAGGTATATCAAAAGAAAACAGATGAAGTTAGGATGGCAGAGATGGTTATGCAAGGGGAAGGAACTCGAAAGGTGGCATATAAGATCAAGAAGTGACAAGTGCGCTCGGGGAGGAACGGGAGGTAGATCGTGTCGCAAGGGTAATTGGGGGGTAAGTAGTCAAAACAGATCTGAAACAACACACAACAAATAGGAGCGATATTTTCTCGTACAACAAATTTGATGACTTGAGACTCAAGATGGGGGCGAACTATGATGGGTAGTAATAGTCGTTTGAGTCCCAGTCCTCTGCGAAGCGGGTCAGCTGACTGGGGTCACTTATGAGGATATCGCCACATACCTTCTGTGATACCTTTCCAAGCTATATACAGCGCGCCTACTGCAGCAGTCTCGAGGATGGTCGCAACGAAGGAGCCGTCGACCTTTGCTGAAGAGCCCTGTAAAACGGGTTAAGCGGCGTGTTTTGAGCTATAGCGCGCAAGAAAACTCACCCGACATATCACCTTGCTGAGGAGGTAATACGCAAGCTGACTCAAAACAAAGAGGATAGCAGAGAGGACGTAAAGCCAGACGGGGCGAACTTCGTTCAATATACCAAGGACGATATAGATCATAATGCCGAAGTAAAGCAACGCTGCACTGGAGGACAATGTAAGAAGAAATCGACTGGCATAAGTTTGGCCGAACTCACGCTCCAGGCCAAATGTTCGTTAATACGAACAGGGGTGTGCTGTGCAGAGCCGCCGGAGGGTTCGATGGGCCAAACACGTGTGTTACAGTGAGTGCGACGTCGAACGAAATGTACGTCGTTGCGACGAAGAAGAATAGGCTGATGATCGAGAACGGCTATTCCGGCGTTAGCGTCATAGCGCGTGCGCGAGGGACATAAGACGGAGAACTCACAACCAGCGAACTCAACGTGCCATCCTCCACTATCTGGGTTGCCACGAGTGCATTGCCCAGCAGGGCCCAGAACGTAGTCGCCACGAGACCAGCATGTATGGCAGTGAGAGCGACAAGCGCGGTCGAGCCTTGTTCGAGGAACGAGCCGGTCGTGAGAAGTTGGAAGGGGAGAGTGAGAAGGTAGAGGATGAAGAAGGTACGGAGCTCGACGCGGCCTGAGATACGTGTGAGCGCAACGAAGCGAATAAGGCGAGCGAGTAAGCAAGGAAGGCGGAGCAAGGGCGAGTCTCAGACAGACGCTGGAGCCGACAGACAAGCAGGAGGGATGGACATTGGTGATTTAGAGGAATACTCACCGACAGCGGCCTTGCGTCTACCCGTCAAAAGAATCAAGCCCACCATGAAGAGGATGCTAACCGCACAGACGACGATGTTGGCGACATTCCCGATAGAACCATCCTGACCAGCCCGGAGTATGCCGCATTCGGGATTTACGCCAATGGGAGCAGAGGCCGAGTTGCTCGAGACCGAGTTGAAGACAGTGTCAGAGTTATCCTTGATCTGTGATCGCAAATATGAGTGTCAAGCATTGTGAGCCGAGGTGGCGAAGGATTAAAGGGTGGCGGACCTGGCGATAGAAGAGGTTGCACCATGTATATGACGGGACCTGGGAACAAAGCGGCTGAAAGTCACCGAAGGCGACCATGACTCGAAAGATTAAGAAAGATGGTCGAGGGGCTAGGAGGGGGTCTGGTATAAAGCCTGGTATCGCCCTTGGGGCAGCGTCTAGGGGAGGAGAGTCGTATGGGCGTACGGGGGTCGTATGGTGTCGTTAGATGAGGGAGTAAAACAGAGTTGGACGCCAAACGCAAACACAAGTCAACACACGCCCAGTGAGACTACTCCTTCTTCGGTTGCTATAACTCACCGTACCAGCGAACACACGGCCAGGGAACGAATGCTAGCAGACTGTGTTGACCACCACAGAGCGGAGGGAACAGAGAAAATGAGCGTCGAGAGTTGGGAACGCTAGCACCGTGTCCGCTGGCAACAAACAGCCCCGGCGGTCGTTACCATCCCCTATTAGGAAACCATTCACAACACCCTTCAACGCACTTGTCTTTGTTCTCAACCCCTTCTAACGATTCCGATGTTTCATCTCCAGCGCTTTCTGGTATCGGACAGCTGTAGGAGCTCGCTGTTGCGCACGGACCACTCCTCATGCGCATACAACGTTTACCCCTTCGCTTTTGCCCGAAAGAACCTCATGTTCTAGCATGCGCAATCTTTATCGGACGCCCAGGATCCCCCACGAGACTCACAGACACCAATGGCGCGGGGTACCGTCACCGGTTCGGCGGGACGATGCCCCGAGGGCGTATCACCTCGTCTATTGACCGGGATAGCTAATTTTACCAGAGACGATTCCCCTGAGTTTCGCCGTCACCCTCTGGTCATAGGACCATCACTCGAGAGCATAAATATGGTCAGTAACGTCGATTGTCACCTCGACGACCTTCCCGCACGCCTCTCAGAGTCCAGCCCTCGGCAATGTCTTCCAGCCTCAAAGTTGAGTACCGCCAGCTCGGCAAGTCCGGTCTCCGGGTTTCTGTCCCCATCGTGCGTTTTCTGTCCCTTCATCTCAGGGGCTATTTCACATGCGTCATGGCTTTTAGATCGGGGCGATGAGCTTTGGTTCCCCAAAGTGGGGTCTTTCGGTATGTGATAGCTTCTATCACTACATCAGTATACAAGGCGGGCTCGCTAACTCTACTCCACCTTCGCCGGTCCGTAGCCATGGGTTCTAGACGCCAACGACTCCATCCCCATTCTCAAGGAGGCATGGGACCTGGGTATCAATACCATCGACACGGCCAACGTGTATTCGAATGGCGAGTCTGAGCGTGTAGTCGCACAGTTCCTGAAGCAGGTGCGTACGATAAACTTTGGCTACTCAACGAGCAGTCGCCAATGCATCACATAGTACAACATCCCCCGGCATCAAGTCATCATCGCAACCAAATGTTTTGGCCTCGTTGCCAGTTCTGTCGAGATCAGAACCGCCGCCACACCCGGCCTCGACCAAACTCGCGAATATGTCAACCAGTCGGGTCTCTCTCGCTCAGCAATCTTCAATGCTGTCAACGCCTCCCTTGCTCGGCTGGAGACGCCGTACGTTGATTTGCTCCAGATCCACCGTTTCGATTCCTCCGTCGAGCCAGAGGAGACGATGAAGGCTTTGCATGATCTTGTAGAAAGCGGCAAGGTGAGATACATTGGCGCGAGCTCCATGCGCACATGGCAGTTTGCGCTGCTCAACGAGGTTGCGGCGCGGCATGGGTGGACAAAATTTGTCAGTATGCAGGATGAGTATTCGTTGCTGTACCGAGAGGAGGTGCGTCAATTAAATATTGTTGTCTACCTTCCCCATTACTTGCCTCTGAACGTCGAATCATTGTTAGGAACGCGAAATGCTCGCCTATTGCAAGTACAACGGCATCGGCGTCATCCCATGGGCCCCGCTCGCTGGAGGCGACCTGGCACGCCCCTTTGGTGTCGAGACGACACGGCTGACCTCGGCAAAAGGCACGCCATTCGAGAAGAAGTTCACCGATGCCGACAAGACTATCATCGCGCGCGTCGAGGAGATCGCGAAAAAGTACGATCGCAAAATGGGCCAGGTCGCGCTTGCGTGGGTGAACAAGCGCGTGACGAGTCCGATCGTGGGTGTGAGCTCGATACAGCGATTGCATGAGAGTATCATCACCGGCTTTGAGATCAGCGACGAAGAAGAAGGATATTTGGAGGCCCCGTAAGTTTCATTCACAGCGCTGCTTGCCGGAGCTATTGCTTACGTTGAGTTTAGATACCAACCAAAACCTGTCCGCGGACATGCCTGAATGGAAAGACTTATGGACCAGGGTTGCCTCTGTATTATAAGTCGTCGGGGGTTCGACTCGAGAACCTCGCTGCATGTAAGATATTAGTCGAGGTTGTGAATTTGACATATTGCTCGTGTTCCGTTCTGGCGGTGTGCAGTTGAGGAGATGCATGAAGGACGTTCACACAGCGTTTCGAGCTTGGTAGAACGGTTATGAGGTGCAATTATTACTAAAGTCACGAGCTTTTGTACCGAAGTTCGCGACAGGATGCCCAGGTAACAATGTCTCTGACATGTGTATTCACTTGCTGTTTCTGCCCCATATTTGCTCCGTCCGCTTCAAAGTGTGTCCTGAAAACCATTAACACGACCATTCGGGAGTTCAGTTTTCGAGCTTAGGAGCTGCTACAGGAGTACGAAAGGGCTACTAGGTGATGGGCGAAAGGATCTGCCTGCGAGGAGCCTCCCCTAAAGTGGGGTTGGCGCCGAGCCTACCCTGAAGTAACTGAGGCCGACATCGGAAGGTTTCGGCGCCAAGTTACCCAATCGTCTGGTCTGTATTCGAGATGGTGGATGGTTTACCACTAACACGGGCTCACATGAGCCCAGGCTTTCGGTTTGTGCGCTTTTGGAGCGCATACACCACTCTGATAACATAAATCTGACCAATGCGCGCCTTTGTGTTTGAGTCGTTACTAAAACTGACTGTTTGGGTATCTAGATCATGCACATGAATACTGGCCAGCTTCAAGCACAATACTTGCACTCGGAGGTTGCCAATTCTTGCTTTCGCTAGGTTAACAAGTTAGTCCCAGAATGACGTACTGTATATCGCTTACAACAGTGACCACAGATTCGGATATCGACACACATGAAGGCCAACCGCATCGGAAGTACTTTCTGGGTTCGCTATGTGGACGTTCAACAAGCTGGCCTATCCTAGACCGCCCAATGGTAGCTTTTTTCATTGAATTGTCACTCAAATCACCGTTCGCTAATCAATGCTTCATGATTCGTTCAGAAAGAAGGCGCTCAAATACGGAATGCATCACGCAGGCGCACCATCGCGGCCGCTAGTCCTGGACCAACGCTTTTCTGGGCTTCTGTGTTAAATTGACCACATGCCGATCTAAGGTCCAACCAATCAGAAGGTACGAACTCAACAACATAGGATGACATCTTCCTTCAGTTCGTCCCCTCCTATCGGCTTCTTGCCAGATCTGGTCCCTTTTCGATCGATTGACGAATGCGCGATGACTCGCTGGTCATACGCATTTATCCTCCCCCCGAGCTCTGGGGCCCCTAATATTAGCTTCCACTGTTGCGCCGCGTACATGTCCCGTCGTCTTTCACACATTGTGAGGTGCGACGCGCATATAAGCCCGCCCTGCTTCCTTCTGTTGCCGTAATTCGCAACGTTGTGACCTTACTTCGGATATGCGCACTAAAGAACTCAAAGTCGAATACCGTCAGCTTGGAAAGTCGGGTCTCAGAGTGTCGGTGCCGATCGTATGTCATATGTTTCTATGGTATCTGCGCAGTTTCCTCATTCTTCCTTTTGAACAGCTTGGTGCCCTTAGCTTTGGTACTTCCAGATGGGGACAGGCGGTATGTTGAGTCGGCATTGTAGAGGGGAGCTCAGGGACTGACCAGTGGGTGTTATACAGCCATGGGTTCTCAATGCCGAGGATGCTTTCCCTATACTAAAGGAGGCATGGGACCTTGGCATTAACACCATCGACACCGCGAATTCATACTCTAATGGTGAGTCGGAACGCGTCATTGGGAAGTTCATCAAGAAGGTGAGCGCAGTGCGATGAGAAATTAGCCCCTATCCTCTGACGACCCGCGTCAGTACAACATCCCGCGACATCAGATCATCATCGCCACGAAATGCTATCGTCTCGTCGCTGAGTACCCTGAACTCCGGACGAGCACGACACCCGGCCTCCAAAATCGCCGCGAGTACGTGAACCAGTCCGGCCTCTCGCGGGCCGCCATCTTCAATGCGGTAAACGCGTCGCTCGAGCGTCTCGGCACCGACTACATAGACCTCCTCCACATTCACCGCTTTGACCCTGACGTCCCACCGGAAGAAACGATGAAGGCGCTTCATGACCTCGTCGAGTCCGGTAAGGTGCGGTATATCGGTGGGAGCTCGATGCGATGCTGGCAATTCGCGATGCTTAACGAGGTGGCGGCGCGGAACGGATGGACGAAGTTTGTCAGTATGCAGGACGAGTATTCGTTATTATATCGCGAAGAGGCGAGTGCTTACATGATCTCATCCTTGCGGCAGAATGACTGAAGTTGGTTTTCAGGAGCGTGAGATGCACGCATACTGCAATCACCACGGCATCGGTATCATTCCATGGGGCCCACTCGCTACAGGTGACCTCGCTCGGCCACTAGGCGTCGAGACCGAGCGCGCCAGCGCATCAAAGGGCACTATCTTCGAGCGCAAGTTCAGCCCGTCAGATGAGCTCATCGTGATGCGTGTCGAGGAACTTGCACGGAAGTACGACAAACCGATGAGTCAGATTGCACTGGCGTGGATCAACGGACGAGTCGCGAGCCCCATCATTGGTGTTAGTTCGATACAGCGACTGCACGAAGGTATCATCACGGGATTCCAGCTCACGCCAGAGGAGGAAAGGTATCTGGAAGAACCGTAAGCGTCTACACTCATATACTTGGGATCCACGCTGATGAAAACGATGTAGGTATGAACCAAAACGTATCCGAGGGCACGCATGATGTAAGACCGCGGAGTGCGATAGGTTGGCTATGTTAGTTCTCTGAACATATTATCCAACGCGTCATATATGCGCATGTCACCATTACCTCATAACATTCTTTCGGTTTGTTGATATTTATACATTCATGTTTAAAGCATGCATGGCGTGACCAAGCGTTGCACTGGCTTGCGGTCTCGGATGTCAAAGCGATGAAATAAGTTACATCGTTTGTAGAAATTTACGACAACTTGAGGTCCGTTTGCGCATAAAAATTGACCGGCGCCTACTGTGCATGACTTTGAAGCTTAGTCTCTGCTTGACGTATCAGTTGTTCGATCTTTGGCACTAGCCCCGGTTCTAGACTTTCTTCCCCTAGAATGTTTTCGGCCGTCTCCAATGCACCGTGCGCAGAGCGAAGCGTACGAGAATACTGCCCAATACCAAATGCTACCTGTGCCGAATTCCATAGCGCATGAACGAGTAGTCTCCGTGCCCCGTGAATTTCTGCTGTATACTTCCCATCAGTGTGCATGTCCAAGGCGATCAAAGCCGTAGCTAACTCGGCGACGCTTTCAAACGCCGCGCAGGCGGAGCCCATTTCTTGATAACCTTGACCTGCTTCCATGCGATCGCGAGCTGTGTTCATTCGACCACGCGCGCTCCTTTGCGAGATACTGATAGACCGACGAATGATGTCTGGATGGGTGATCTGCTGAATATGAGCTAGCGATGTTGAAGCCGAAAGCCCTGTCGGAGCTTTGCGAAGCAACTGGATACTCTCAAGTGCTTTTCGCTGCGCCAACACGACCAAAAGACGAATAAGAGCGGTCGGTCCCAAAGTACGTTGATGAGAAATGAAGAACGATTCGTCTACACCAGGTGGATTCTCGGAGGAGAAAATGGGGGGATATCGGACAAATTCCATCTCGTGCTCAAGTACGGCAATAGCGCTTTGTTTGTTATAACGACCAGGTTTGAAAAGTTTTGTGGCGTTTGAGCTTTCAACATACGCAACCTGTAAGAAAGACTCAATCTGTGCATTATTGATTCCACAGGACTCTGCAGCGTGAGTCAGAGTCGTGATGAGCCGCAGCACAGACACGCGCACAATTCCTAGCATATGTTGAACATCAGCACGTTCTGATAACCAAGGTATGGGAGACTTGCCACGATTCTGTAAAAGCATAGGTAAATCGTTTGGATCTAGTGCGTCGAGTCTAGCGTAATCTTTGACTGCTTTCGAGAATTTTCTATAAGACACTCAGGCGCATGAGACTTCAAAGTTTCAAGTCTCGAGAATAATCGCAAGCTCTCACCGGTGTATAGCCTCAAATTCACCGTCTTCTACACTCATCCAGACTTCGAGAAGCCTTTCCATCCAATCAACCCGTGATGTGAATAAGGAAATCGCCTGGAGCATTAATTTCCAGTCTTGTTTGTTCGAAGTTTTATCCAATGTAACCGCGACACCTGGGACTACATGGCTTGGCCAATAGAACAACAGATTCAACGCTTCGCAAGCTCTCCACGCTACCGCGCTTTCTGGATTCCACGGTGGCGGATCAATCATTGCGCAGTCCAGGAGCAGATCAATGATGTGGGGTTTTGTCGTGAGGATGTCAAGGCAAAGTCTTCGTGTAGGAGGAGAGAAAGTATAAAGAATGGCTTGCACTACTGATGTGGCTCTGTCCTGGGATTTGGCATGAATCCTGAGCGCAAGGCGCCGCAGCAGGTTTGGTGCTATCTGGAAAAGGGGATAGTTATGGTATTTTCAATGAGATCGATTATAAAAGTCTTACTGAACTACTCTCAGGAGTGATAAGCCTGGCCTGCCATGCTAATGTAGGATCAAAAATTTGATTCAGAGCAAGCTCGGACCCTTGGAGCGCGTAAAGACAGACAGCCTCGAAGATCTCCGCAGCAGTAGAAGGGCTTATCTTCCGTCCTAGAAACGCTGTAGAAGAAAGTTCATGCAAACTGGAGACAGCACATTGTATTAGAATGTACAGTCGATGATGTATGAACTAAGAAGCATAGGTGGGTGATGTCAGAGAGGTTAGCGTGTATACAAATCAACGAATTTATAAAAATAAAAATAAAAATAAATAAAAATAAGATAAAAGGTTAAAAGGAAAAGGACTAACCTGCAAGCACGTTTCGACGATTCTTTCTTGCAGCAGGGCATCCAACAAGGTTTGGCGTTGATTATAAGACCCAGCTATTAGCACTGCGGTACAAAGAGTACGCAGTGCCCCGTACTTGCAGATCCAGTATTCCGGATTTGCATCCTCGGCCAACTCTCGACGTGCAATCACCATCATAGAGGGAACTAGACCTGCTTCGAAATATGCTTGGGCATACTGATTGAAAGGGCGTTCATGTTCGGGCTTGTCATACCCCGGGCAGGACGCTAAATTTTGATGGATCTCGTTCTAAATCATGTTAGATCAGGTTGATTGATCGAGAAAACCGGCGACGGAACGAAACACTTACCATCTCCATCTGTACTTGGATAGGGTCTTCTTGCGGTTCAGCCAACCTAGTAAACAGCGCTTGTAGATGATGCAGCGTGGGCGGACTGGTATTTGGAGAAGACATTGGACGGATGAAGATGCTTGTGAGGCTTGCACTAGCGTACAAGCCCCGTGAGGCTGACGCAAGCCTTCTAATACACCCGTGGGATATCTGCTTAGCGCGTCACAGCAACACATCATCACGCTTTAAGCTTTAGCTGCCATTATCGCAATTCCCGTTCAACACATCATAATGTACCACAATAAATCGGAGGCGCAATTACTTAGGGATTGGAAAGGTAGCAGCTGCACTTCAAATGACGATAAACCTAGCAAATTCTTGAGTGACGCGGGCTTCGTCGATCAACCATTAGACTGCAGTATGGGTCCTTGTCGGCATAGCACGAGTACTAGTGAATGGTTCGACGGGCTCAGAGGCTCACCTGGCAAACGGAGCATGGTAATTCGGCGTCATTTGGTCGAAAGCTGATAGTGAGCCAAGTCGCCCAGCGGCTCGGCGTCGAGACCGAGCGGGCTGACACATTGAAGGACATGATCTTAGACCGCATGCTAAGCTCGAGTCATATGAACTCGTCGTGATACCTGTCGAAGACTTGTTCAGCATCGAGGCGAGGTTATCGTTTAAAAGTAGTATCCGAGGACGAGCGCGGATATATTGAGGAGTAATTGCTGAGTCGTTTCTATGCATGTTTTCAGATCTACTTATCGAATATTACTTGTCATTGCCAAGCTGTTACGAAAAGTCCTCATGTAGCTAGCTTAAGCCGACTCTAGACGACGTTTGAAACAAGTTTGGAACTCGACTCTGATTTACATTGCATTGTGATAGAAGCTGAAAATAAAACGTAACCTAGAAGTATACGAGTATCAGAATTTCTGGTTAGAGCTCACGGGTCGAAGTCTACGTGCTACGTGCTACGCAGACTCGTAGATCTCAACATTGGCTTGGTCAATCAACAGCTTGATGCTACGAATAGCCCCCAAATCCAGACCTTCTTCATCTGGAATGCCTTCCGCTGCTTTTACAGCACCGCGACCGAAGTGTAGTGCTTGCAGGTAGTTACCAACGCCAAAAGCCATCCGAGATGCGCCACCCAATGACAAAACGAGCACCTTCCTAGCGGGCCGGATGTCTGACGCGTATCTCCCCTCTGTGTGCATATCCAATGCAACCAAAGCAGCCGCCAGTTCTGCGATGCTCACAAACACGACACAAGCGGTAAGGGTATCTTTCGTGTCTGATGGCTCTTTGGCACGGTAGTTGCCGGCTATCATCCGAGCATGCAAGCGCTGATGAGAAATCTTGATAATCCTACGGATAATGTCTGGGTGGGTGATCTGCTGAATATGGTCGAGTGAAGTCGATGGTGAGAGCCCACTTGGCGCTTTACGGAGTGTTTGAACGCCATTTAGGGTTTTGCGCTGTGCAAGCACGACGAGAAGGCCAACGAGCGTAGTTGGAGCCATAGTAAATGCAGGTGCAACAGCGTATGGCACGTCTTGACCAGACGCACTTCCGGAGATAGCGCTGGAAAACTGGAGTAGCTCCACGCCATGTTCAAGAGCAGTCATAGTCTCTTCTCGCGTGTGGCAGTCATCAAGGCGAACCCGGAGATTGTGGCTGCCTACATAGGCCAGGTGTAAGAACGATTCGATGTGAGTGTTAGTCACTCCGCAAGGTTCGGCAAAATAGGTGACAGTAGCCATTAAACGCAGAATAACTATGCGTATAACACCTGCAATGAACCTTTGGCATGAGAAAGATCGTTTTTGAGTAATGATCTCAAACGAGTGCACGAACCGCGACTTTCTAATATCTGCTTGAGATGTTTTGGATCCAGTTTTTCGAGACGTCTGTATCTAACCATTGGTCCAGAGAACGTCCTGGGCAAAATCACTCTGCTTAAGCACCTCCAATAAGAGAAGTAGTTCGCACCTTTCCGCGTTCTCTACGTCTTCTTCGTCTAGCCGCATCCAAACCTCAATTAACCTGTCTGCCCAATGCGGTCGAGATACGAGGATGGTCGTCATCTGGAGCATTAATTTTCGATCGCGACCCTCAGACGTCCAATCAGAAGACAAAACACCAGGAACTATGTGACTAGGCCACCGAAACAACAGATCCAGCACTTCGCACGCATACTTTCCGACCTCGCTTTCAGGACACCACGGCGGTCGATCAAGGCTCGCGCAGTCAAGGAGCAGATCAATGATATGTGGTTTCTTCTTGAGAATATTGAGACAGAACTCACATGGCCGGGGTGGGAATGTGCACAGGATGCCCTGCGCAGCCGCCATCGAAACGCTTTGAGCTGTGGTATGCACGCCAGGTATCATGACACTTGAAACGTTGGGTGGTAGTTGGGACAGCTGTAGGGAAGGTGTGAACTTCGTGCGAGTGGAATCGCGACAATCTTACGTTTTCTTTTCTGATAAACAACGATGCCTGCCAGGCTGTCGCGGGATCCAACATTTGTTCTATAGCATACTCCGGTCCTCGGAGGGCATAGATACAAATGGCTTCAATAACATCTGCTGCGACAGAAGGCGGCAGCCTTTCTCCCATATGCACCGATAATGCTAGGTCATGCAGGGTATGGGCGGCACAGAACCGGAAAATGTAAAGCTGGCGAGCTAAATACTAAACGCCAAGAATCATAAGAAATCATATGGGATTCCTTGAAGAAGCTCGGCTCACATGCAGGCACAGTCCCACCACGTCTTCCTCGAGAAGTTGATCTAACAGAGCTCCGCGTTGAGCAAGATCTCCAATCTCCATCAACATGGAAAGGCTTTGCACAGCACGGAATTGAGAGACGTAGATTGCGTTGGGAGCACAAATCCCTATCCACTCCCGTCGAGCTATAGTCATCATGGAGCACACTATGCCCGCATCCAAGCACTTCTGGGCGAACGGGCTGAAGCGCAGTTGATCTTGATGGGTAGTCTCACGATCGTTGACTAGATCCCAATACAATTTGGTCTGGTATCGTTCGTAAGCGACCTCAAAGGTATACCCAAGAAACAGACGTTGAAGATGTACGCCGTAAGGGTATACTCACTATCCCTTCTTGGGCAGATTCAGGGTCTTCGTGTGGATCAGCTAGCCTAGCAAACCAAGCCTTAAGGTCGTCCACTCCAAAAGAAGTAGGGTTGAACGAAGACAAGGTCGTCATGACTGAAGTTCGAGTAGGAGTTAATGGAAGTCTGTGCGGTAGGTCTAACGACACGTTGAGGTCAGGTAGAGGTCCGACGCAAGCCTTGTGATGATATCGATGCGCGATAAATCGGGACTAGATCTAGCTTCCCACAGTCGCGCAGTGGCCACGCTTGCCTGTCTACAGCGAGATACTTGCATTCGACGCTCGAAGCGTCGTCCACCTCGCTTTCTTGTTTAGTACAACGGAGGACTTAGAGGCGAAGTGATGAAGCAAGCAAGAGATCCGGTCAAGGATCCGGTCACGACGCGGGTGTCGGAGTCGGGGTGACACTCCTGGCAAACCCTTGACTGATGCGGTCCTCAAATTTCATATGGCGCCGCCACAGCCCGCCGCGACGACGACGACAACCTCCGACTGGCTCTCCGGAACAAACCAAGCTCCATGGCTTAGCTCGACTTAAAAACCAACGGCAGAATGAGCACTACTCAGATATCTCGCCCTCGCACCCATCATGGCCCCCATCCCCAACCCGTACAAGATCAGTGTCTCTGACGCCAAGTTGTCGTGGATCACCGAGCGTATCAAATCTGCCCATGTCATTCCCGACGTCGAACACCCCACAGGCCAAGAATGGGCGGATGGACCCCCATCAACGGTCGTTCAAGACCTTGTCGACTTCTGGCGCGACTCTTACGACTGGCGCAAGGTCGAGGCACAGCTCAACGTTACGTTCCCCATGTTCACTGTGCCTATCGAGGATCCTCAGTCTGGCCAGGTGATGACCGTTCATTTCGTTCACAAAAGAAGCTCGAGACCGAACGCGGTCCCTCTGTTGTATGTCCATGGGTGGCCTGGCAGCTTCGTAGAGGTGAGCACTATTAAACGTTTCAATCGCTATAGTTCATCTCGATGTCAGGTTGAAGGAATCCTCGAGCGTCTCACTGAGCCAGAAGAACCCAACACCCAGGCATTTCACGTCGTCGCCCCGAGCATCCCAGGATTCACATTTGGTGCACCACCCACGGTAAGTACAGCACGATACCAGGCGTACAATCTCGGCTAGAGCACATTCTTCCAGCGCTCCGGCTTCACTGTGCTTGACATCGCCTTCCTATTCAACAAGCTCATGGTCGACGTTCTCGGTTATCGGTCCTACATCGCTCAAGGCGGCGACTGGGGTGCCGGCATCATCCGCACGCTCGCGACAGAACATCCTTTGTCGTGCATCGCGGCACACACCAACTTTCCGCAAGCGTTCGGCCCTCCATCCCCTCTTAAGCATCCCATCGCCTTCCTCTGGGTGATCACCCAATGGTTCTCGGCGAGCGAAAAAGCCCGGTTTGACCGTATGATGGCGTGGTTCAAGGGCGACATGGGCTACGCGTTCATCCAGGGCGAAAAGCCGCAGACGATCTCATATGCTCTCCTAGACTCGCCCGTGGGCATGCTGACGTGGATATATGACAAGGTCTACCGCCTTGTCGATCGTGAAGTGTTCACTTGGGAGAAAGAGCGCATCATTACGTGGACGATGCTGTATCTCGTCTCTGAGAACGCGGCGCACGCGAGGATATACAAGGATAACATGGCAACGGTAGGTGAGGTGAAAGTCGTGGGGAGAGGCGTGCCGTTTGGGGTCAGCGCGTTTCCGCATGATACTGGATATGTCCCGAGATGGTGGGCACAGGTGTCAGTCGCGGAGAACATCACATTTTGGCGCGAGCATGAGCGCGGTGGGCATTACCCGACGCTGGAGTGCCCGGACTTGTTTGTCAAGGACATCCGGGACTTCATGGCTACTGTGCCAAAGGAGTGTCTTGCAAAGTTGCAAGCATAGACATCAAGACGTTTCCTACGCTTTGTTATCGGACCTGTGAATTCCTCCACTCATAGATACTAGCATGTTGTTCGTATACAGTGACTCATGAACACCCATTTTCAAAGATATCGATCGATACGTCGTTTTCTAAGCGGCGAGAGACACGTGTATATGACGTTGGACTAGAGTACAGCCAGGACAAGACAGTCTGAACGGGCAGGATGCTCGGAATGATACAAGGGCTCTATGGATTATAGGGCTTAGCTAAATGCATCTTCGCCGGCCTCATCTACCATCTCCCACCCGTCTTCCTCGATTATACGCTCCGGGTGTCGAGGGGAGCGGACCATTGGTGACCACGTCGCCGGCCTGATCCGAGCACGAGCTGCTGGTTTGGCAGCAGTCGCTTGGAGAAGCTGAGCGAAGTCGAGCGAGAACGACGATGACGTGGGTGGCGGAAGAGGGGGTACAGTCTGGTGGGATCGGCTGCACGCGTGAGTCTCATTAGTGCAAGGCAAATAATCGCATCGATTGTGCGACTTACCGGCCTAATTCAGGACTGCAACATATCCCCCATAGGTTGCTCAACGCATCTCCGGCTTGGGATAGCGGTATCTCGACGGACTGGGTATGCGCCAAATAGCACACATTATAGAGTAACATCGCAAAAGCCGTTGTGAATGAAGATTCAGATGCTGTTTCGTTGGCGTCTATGTATGACTCTGACGTTGATGACGATAACGCGGTGGCCGAGGAAGGCATGGTCGACGAGGAGGATAGATGAAGTGGCTGCTTCTTGGACCATCTGCATGGCGAACGGAGCCAAGATGAGTTAAAGAGTGAGAGCGTATGGCGAATTGCTTACTTTGACCAACCTCCCGATTCCGTACCTTTGATGGCTCCAATCCACGGGCGACCCACTGCGAACCGCTTCTGGTCCCACTGAATATCAAACGGAAGTTTAACGCCGAGATAGAATGTAAGGAGTCCGAGGAAGTGTATGGTATGGGTAATGACAGCGTTGATGTGATCGGGTGGGTATCCTATCCGAGACTGATGAGATAGAACAGGGCAAAGAAGTGAAGCGACTCAGACGTACGTCGTATGTCCCCTGGTACAGGGAGAATCAAATCGCCGATTGTCCACTCGCCTTTGGTGCCGGCTCTGCCTCCGATAGGCGGTCTGCCTCCGACCTCGACAATGTTGAAAACTTCGATGAGTTCTTGAACGAGACCGATACGGGCTCGCGTTATAGCACCAGATAGCGCGTGAAGCTCTTGCGTTTCCTTTGAAATGGTTTGGTCGAGCGGTGGAGAAGGAAGAAGTTTAGCGGCTGAGAGTGTTCGCCTGCGTGCAGCTAGCTGCTCTCGCAGGAGTCTGAGACGTTCGCGCTCTATCGGAAAGGTTAGGAAGCTAGTGGCATAGGGTTATGAACGGAACGCACTGGAGTCATTGCTGCGCTTTAACTTCTCCAGGCCCTGTCCAAGGTCTTTGAGGTGGTCCTGTAGGGTTGAGACCGTTGCTCTATCATTGCGGAAGACCTCGATACGAGTGAGCGCCTTGGTCCCTTTTGCGATATGTTCGTCACGATCCGACGCGAAGTGTTGAGTCTGGAGACGAAAGTCGCGTACGCTGTAATGACGTACGTCAGCCAGCAATGCCAACGATCTGAGTTGTTGAGTACGAACTGTGTTTTGAGGCAGCTGGCACAGTAAAACTGTCTCTGTCTCAGCTCACAGTTCTTGCATTCCATGGCATAGTGGGGAGAAGGAGAAAGAGAGAGGAGGACGCCTACGACAACCCGCTGAGGCCACTTTCGCTTATGTCAGCAGATCCTCCACTTGGGGAGTGTACGGGCCGAGCGACTGCAGAGCTTCCGATCTCCGATGCAGCTCCCGTCGTCCTGATCATCTCATCACGCCGATGGAGACGACGAGCACCAATGGCAAAAAAGAAGGCAGGATCAACAAAAGCAGTGAACAAAGCTGCAAAGAAAGATAAGGCGGCGCAAAAACTCGATCGTAAAGAAAAGAAGAAAGTCGGAAAGTCAAAGAAAGAGGAAGCGGACGATGAAGACCTCGAGGACATCTTAGAGAAGGTCAGCATCAGCATTCGAGAAAATATCTCGTAATCTGACGTCGACGCTATGCAGTAGCTGAGGGAAGAGTGGGAACAAGCCCATAAGGTGACAGAAGAACTCGTCGAAGGACCGCCCAGTCGTCGGGCAAACGCGTCTCTGACCGCGTGTCCCACCGGCAACTACCTGTGGTGCATTGGAGGGGAGTACTTCAGCGACGATGGAAAGGCTGTGAGTACTCGTCAGTACATACCCGGAGCTAGCTCAACTTACACCTTGCAGTACTTTTACAACGACGTCTTCCGCTACTCGCCTGACAAAGTGCCCCATCTACTATCTCAACAATCACGCCACGACTGACACGACATTCGACTTGTTTCTAGGACGAATGGCGCAAGTTCGTCTCTCCAAACTGCCCTGGTCCACGTTCAGCTCATAGTGTCGTCGCGTCACCGGCTGGAGGAGGGAGGCTCTTCTTGTTTGGTGCGTCCTAAAGCCGTGTTCGTGAAATTGTTAACTGACCTTTTTCAAGGAGGGGAATTCTCGTCGCTTTACCAGAACAACTTTCATCATTATCGCGACTTCTGGTATTTTGATGTCGCAACGCACAGCTGGGAGCGCATCGAAACCAAGATTCGACCCAGCGCGCGTTCAGGGCATCGGTGAGTCCGCTTCACCAGCATTGGCAGCCTACATTCATCACCGAAATATTGTAGTATGGCTATGTGGAAACACTACATCGTACTTTTCGGTGGATTCTACGACCCAGGGTACCGAAGTGGGTTTTGTTAGTATGTATGTCATTGTCGAAGCTAATTGTCGTCTTTCTCTAGCAAACTACCTCAACGATACATGGATATTCGACACGCAGGAATACAAGTGGAAACAGACTGAGTTTAAAGAGAACGAACGGAAACCCTCGTGAGCGATCATCCGATTCATTAAACGATCATTTGCCTCATTAGCGCTAGACCTCGTAGTGGGTTCTCTTTTATTCCAACTGCCGACGGCATCGTACTACATGGTAAATTCCATGCTACAGCGGTTGCTGGCGAAGCTGACCAGCTAGTACAGGAGGCTACTGTAAGGAATACGTCAAAGGGAAACGTCCTATAGGTGTGATGCTGGACGATACCTGGTTCCTCAGGTACGGGCTTTCTCATTGTATCTGCAACTGAGTTTATGACGAGACACGCTATAGGATGTCACTTGATACGCCTGCGGAAGGTAAATCGACGTCGACAGACACTCTTTCGCTCAAGTGGGAAAAGCGCAAACGACCCAGCACAGCTTTTGCCCCATCGACGCGCTCGGGATGTACGATGGCTCTGTGGTCCGCGAAGTCAATGGGGATCCTCTTCGGTGGAGTCACGGATGAAGACACAGACGAGGAGAGTCTCACCAGCGTTTTCTGGAACGACCTGTAAGTTTGCCTTCGAAACGATTATGTCTCGACTTGAACAATGCTTTTCGTAGGTACGGATACCAGCTCATCGGGAACGGAAAATGGGTCTCAATGGCACTGAAGCGACCCAAGAACAAGGGTGGAACCAAGAAAGCTGCTGCTAAGCAGCAGCAGCAGCAGCGACGCACTCGGCATTCAGACGATGACGACCCGGACTCTGAAACTGATGTAAGTCACTCAAGTCCATGTTATCCCACTCCGTGAACTAATATTTTAACAGATAGCCATTGTTAAAGAGAAACCTGCGGCACCGGACGTCGATCCAGACGATCCAAACCTTACTTTACCTATGCCTCGGTATAACGCGATGCTGTCAGTTTTGCGGAACACATTATACATGTACGTCTCTTTGCTTGCCCTCTCCGCACTTATACAATAACGCTTCATAGTTATGGGGGGATCTTCGAAAAGGGATCTCGCGAATACACCCTAGACGACTTCAACTCGCTTCAGCTCGACAAGTTAGATAGATACGTCTGCCTCAAGAAGGCTGACGTCACTATCCCCGACGATGACGCCGAAAGCAGCGATGACGACGAAGAGGATGGAGAAGACGGAGAAGACGACTCGGATGAGGACGAGGATAACGAGAGCGATGATGGACCGGAAATGGCCACTTTCGTTGTTGACGAGCCTGAAAAAGTGGATGAGGAAGTGGACGAAGTGGCCGTCGAAGTGACACCTCAGCCGGTGAGTGACGAGCTAGTCGCGGGGCGTACCCATCATCCTCTCCATAGGATCTTCGTGCTACTGCACAGGAGTTCTTGTCGGCCGCCGACAAGGAGAAACGCTCGGCCAAAGATATTATCAGCACGCCTCTGCCAGGAGAAACATTAGCGATGTTTTATGGTCGTTCTCGTGAGTGTTGTTATGAAACGAAGTATTCATCCCTTATGGGCCGTGTGTGCATATCAGGTGAATACTGGACGCAAAAGGCGTTTATCTCTAGCGATAATCGCGGCAAGGAACTTCGCCGTAATGGCTTTAGCATGGCGGAAAGAAAATACGGTAAGTCGGTCTGTCTTTTTGGCTTATTCTTGATTCTCAATGTATTCTTGCAGAAACATATAAACCTATATTGGAGGAAGTGGAGAAGATCTTAGCCGAAGCAGGGTTAGATGATGACGAGATCAAAGCCAGCGCAGCACGGCAGCCAGGCAATAACACTGGCGAAAGTAGGAATAGACGATGATTGCGAACACTCAGTTTCACAGAATACGTGTTGAAGGTGTGACCTACTTGAATGAAGTCGGCTAGAGCACACTTACAAGTTGCCAGAGATGAAACGCACTTGGACATGGCTACCCGACACCATTCCGAAGCGTCCCAATGACGGACGCATCCTCCACTGCACCCCTTTCAGCCTTTGCTTTGAGCATCAAACAGTGTGAAACTTGACATTCTTCCGCAACACTATCAACACAATACAATGCCAGATGTTGATCATGTCCATGGCGCGCTCTATGTGCGACTTGGAGTGCAGCGAGATATGAAGTGGCGGAGAATCAATCGCAGCGGCGAGCTGGCGATGAACGGGGACACTGCGGCCTCAGGGAAGACATAGTCATACCAAGAAATATAGGCAACGTGTCAACTCTTATCGACAAGGTACACTGTTGTACCACTGGGCTGCGGTTTCAGTGGTCCATGGGCATGTCTGTGTGTCCGAAGTAGGAAACACCTGCGATATCTAGACACGCGTCAGCAGGATTCTGTGTACAGAATGGGAAAGATGCGAACGAACACCAGCCTCAATGTCCCTGTTTGTAAAGCGCCGAGCATGCACAGCATCATCAGGAAAATGTCAAAGCTCTACCGGCGGCGACCGGTGGCAGTACATGTCAACATCGCTGAGGTAGCCAGTGTCAAGGGCGTTGACACCCCCCAACTCTGTTGACACGTGTCGGATAATATTGAACTGGTGCGTATAACAGTGCACAGCATTGTGCTACGGTGCCACGTAGCATCACAGTTCAGCTGACGCGGTGGGCGCACGAAGTGGGTGTAGGCTCTGTAGCCCACCAGAAACACCCCGGTTCACTCAAAACACCCAGAAAGAGAAACAAAAACATCAATAAAATTGTAGGCAGTTAGTATAGCAGTTGAGATGTACAGTAGCTATCTAGTTGTTGAATTCAACGACCAGCTCAGCGACCCCGTTCGCGAGCACCTCCTTACTCATGGACACTGAAGTGACCGGTTGGTACTGGACTCCAGCGTGTTCACTAGAATAATACTCAAGTCAGTACCGCATAGACACGGAGAGTGAAAGCGCGTACAGGCCATCCCGATACATCCGGGCCTGAAGCTTCCCCAGAATGTTATGCTGGAGGCCCTCCAGTTCGAACCGGTTGAGGTCCTCGAGGTACGTTTTGTACACAGGGCGGTAAGCCGTCTCCGAGAAGGTGATCCTGCCCCGCTTACCCGTATGCCATTCATCAATGGCACAATCGATCTGCCCAGTGCGTATCAGTGCGAGTACTAGAGATAATCCAAGCGACTCGAAAAAGGCGCTCACCGCTGTCATGATGAGTGCGAGAGCCAGTTTGGGGAATGGCTCGTAAAAGTCACGACACCGGATGGCGTCGTCATCACGGTCTTGAAAGAAGACTTCGTTGAGGAGGTTCTGGATAACGGGCCCGCAGTAAATATATCTGCGGGCAGCCCAATCCTGATAAACAATGCGTGAGATAGACACGTAAATTAATAGAAGGAACATCACTTACACGGTAAAGGGTTAGGGAGGAGTGTAAAACACAGTGAGTGAATCTCAAGAAGAGGTTGTCGACGAAGGGCGGACAACTGGCTTGGAGAGACTCCAAGGCCACCAGTTTCGTCTTATATAGACTCTATACCCATATTTTGATATATTATTGAAAGTCAGGCATGTCCAAAAATTCTGAAACTTGAGGGTTAGGGTGGTAGCTTGCCCGACGAGCGAAGCGAGGAGGGTAAGCGTAATGAGAAGAGGAGTTGAAACTTGGTCAACAGGCTGGGGATTTCCCCCAGCAACCTGTTTCGTATATATACTCTTCAGGACCAAAATAGTTTCAAGGTGGAGTACCATCGGATGTCTGTAGAGAGGCGGGAGACGCCTCTACGGGTGCATCCAAATGACATCATTGTATAGGAATAGATGTTAGTAAGCGTTTCAGCTAAACTTAGCATGCTTGATGACTGATGTGAATGCCGAGGCCGATGCGATCGCATCGGGATTACCTTAAATGATATAATCGTCCCACAGTGGGAAAATTACCTATAAATAGGTGTTTCATGTAAAAATACCTGAAACTTCTCACGCCCTATGAATAGTCAGTTCCACGTGACTAATAAGCGCTCGGGATTAGCCGGGCGTCTATCT